AGCAGGAATTCTGGTGTTCCCTATTGGAAAACTGAAAAATCTCTTAACAAAAAAGTCCCAAAATCACTCTGTAAAATACCCCAAAATCCATGTTCCTCCACAAGTAAAACAAAAGACCACTATAAAGACACAGAAAGAGTGAGACAGAGACAGCGATCAGTTGGGCAACGTTTTATTGATATATCTACAGTGTTAAAGCAATGTGGAAGACTACCAGTGTCTCTATCATAATAATAAAGTGAACTCTAAATACATGTTTCACAAATTCATGAATATATATTTTGCTGCCCTCCTACAGGGACTACAGCCCCCCAACAGGGGATTTGGCCCCCACACAAGGGCTACAGTCCCCAATAGGGGATTTGGCCCCCCAACAGGGGGTTTGTTCCCCACACAAGGGCTACAGCCCCCCAACAGGGGCTTCGGCCCCCAAACAAGGGCTATGATGTCCCAAGAGGGGGTTTGGTCTCCACACAAGGGATTCGGTCCCCCAGCAGGGGATTCAGCCCCCACACAAGGACTATGGCCCCCTAACAGGGGTTACAGCCCCCAACAGGGGCTATGACCCACTAGTACCCCCATGGCAGCTCCCCCAACCCTAGGCACCATCACTTTAAAGAAAAAAAAAGAAAAAAAAAGAAAAAAGTGAGAAAAAGCCTCTATTTACCCCAGAAGCAGGGGTGGGGGCGCTCCGGGGCCTCCTGGCAAAGCCCCTCATGGCACCATACGGCAGCAGGGGACAGGAGGGCCTGGGCTGGGGTCACTGGGATTGTCCCACTGCCTGGCACTGTGAGGGTTGGGCCCCAGTGAGACAGATGGCAACCAGATTGTCGGTAAATGCTGGGGGGGGGTTGTTTGTTAGTTTGTTTGAAACTTTGGAGATGCTGTGGTGGGGAGGCAGGTGAAGGGTGGGGTCAGTGAGGGAAGGGATCAGGGAGGCTTGGGGGGCCTGGGGAGGGATGGGGCCAGGCAGGAAAGTGATTGGGTGTCGGGGGGGGCATGTAGGGGTGGGAAAGGTGGGGGGTTTGGGGAGGGGCAGGCAGGGGGTGGGGCCTAACAGCAGGGATCAGGAGGGTTGGTGGGGAGGTGAAAGGTGGGGCTGGGCAGGAAAGTGATTGGGGAGGTTGCAGGAGCAGGCGGGGGTTGGGCTGGGCGGGGCAGGGATTGGAAGGCTGGCAGAGTGGGCAGCGCCAGTGGGGGTCCCCCACCATGGTCCCCTCCACCCTCCTCCAGTGCCCCCAACCACTTCCTTATGGCACTGGAGCCCTGGTGCTGCACTGTCTGGCAGGCCATGCATTTCAGCACCAGGACAAGGGGCCAACTATAGAGATGCTCTGGCAGCCAGAGCATCTCTGGGGAGGACCTAGCTCCAGTTGCCTCCGGGTATGGTCCAGGACCATGCCCTGCCCTGGTTTTTTAAACTTTGGGGTTTTTTTAGACCCCTGGATTTTTTCGTTCCTGCATGTGCCTTTACCCCCTTCTGAAAGTGGTT